GGGCGGGGGGGGGGGGGAGAGGCGGGTGTGCGTCAGTGGCAACTTTGAGTTGATATAAATGAAGCAATAGGAGTTGAAAGTATAGTGAGTAGGAATGCCTTAGAACCAAGCCTTGGGAAACTACTCAAAGCCGAATGGCAAAGGAGACTGAATATGGAGGTGAGGGCCGGGCACGGGGGTATTAAGGGGATGAGGGAGTAGGGGGAAGCAAAAAAAAAAAAAAAATGATGTGGGAAAAGGGAGGCACAGAAATTGTGCTGCCTTGATAGCCAGAATATTTAAAGGAAAAAATAATTAACTGGGTTAAATGCTATTAAGGTCAAGACTAGGACTAAAACCATCTACAAAAGATTTAGCAACATGGACATTATTAATATTGAATTGCACCTTTCCTTGTATGCTATATAATTTTCTATAGGTTCTGAGAAGGAATTTAGTAGAATTCAAGGCCTAGGCCTCCCTTGAATAAGTGATGTTTAAACCTACTTTGGAATGAAATTTTGAGGATCCTAATTCTTCTGTGAATCTTAGTTCTTCCTTCTGTTCAAAACCACGTCTGCCTTCTACTGTGAGCCTTTGATTCCAACTGATCTTGGCTAAGACTTCCCATTATGTTGTCCCCAGTTCTTAGATGACACAAGTGGCTCAGCTCCTCTGGAGACAGAAACATGAATGCATCTTAGTTCAGATATGCACTTACCCATGCTTTTGTATAAAGCTGTAATGCCACCTGGTGATCATAAGGATAAGAAAAGTCAAACTTTTTCAATTGAGTAATTAATTATTGAGGATTTGCTTAATGGCTTATCAACAAAAATACACACTGGAAATCAAAGTTAATACAAGATTTCAGTCATCAAATGCCTATTTCTTGATGGATAATGTAGAAGGGTGGGGGTGAGAGGTGGGGGACATAATGAGCAGTAAGGTAAATCACCAGCCTAAAGGTGGGCCTGGCTGTGAACAGAGATGGGGTTACTCGGGAGTCAGTATGGTGTACACCAGGTATGTTAAAGAATGGGGCTATGAAACAATGTCTGCTGAGACTTGAACGGTCTAAGTTAGTGGTCCCCCACCATTTTAGCACCAGGGACCAGTGCTCCTATGAGAATATAATGCCTGATGATCTGAAGTGGAGCTGAGGCGGCAATGCTAGCTCTGGGAAGCAGATGCAAATACAGATGAAGCTTCCTTTGCTCCCTCACCTCCTGCTGTGTGGCCCGGTTCCTAACAGGCCATGGACTGGTACCAGTCCATGGCCCAGGGGTTGGGCACCCCTGCTTTAGACTATTAAAAACCAGAAAGTTGTAAAACAGTGGCTCTTTTACCAGTGGCATGGGGGTGGAGGTGGGGAAGGAGGCTTAAAAGGTTTTCCCCAACTTCTATTTCCGTACGTAAAGGCAACCACTACCAACTATTTCTTGTGTATTCTAGGATTTTCTAAAAATAAATATTTTATATGTGTGAGCACATACATGTGCTTGTGGTGAATTAAAGATAACCACAAATTCTACTCTTCTCATAGAAGAGTGGAACCAATTTCCCCTCTATCTGCATTTGGAAGGGCCTCGTAACACACTTTGACCAATAGAATGCAGAAATGGCTTTTAAGATCTGCTTTCATCCACTTAGAACCCAGTTGCCATGCTGTGAGAATCCCAACCAATATGAAAGGCCACATCAAAATAAACAAGGCCCATCAGTCTGCAACCCCAGTGGAGCTCCTAGGTAACAGCCAGGGCCAAATGCCAGCCAAAGCGAAGCCTCCAGATAGCTGTAGCCCTAGCCAAGCCCATGTGGGATGCAACCACCCAGCTAAGCCCAATCAACCCACAGAATGTTAATACTTGTTTGAACCAGTACTGAGTTTTAAGGAGATTTGTTATGCAGTAATACAAAACAAAGCCTTAAGATTATACATCGTTCTTGTTTTACTTCTTTGGGATATCTTCCAATAACACTGAGTAGTATTCTATTTACATGGATGGTACAAAATGAAACTGATGTTCTTCCAATTTACAATTTAGGTATTTTCCTATTTTCTGCTGATATAAAAAACTTCAGTACATATTACTTCATACATGTAAAAGCATATATGTAATTTAAAATAAACCCCGTTTTCTAGAGCTACACTGTCCACTATCTAATAGCCATAAGCTACACTCACTTTCTGAACCTTACTATATACATCTAGCTAGTGGACAGCTGGGAGAACATTTCTGCCATTGCAGAAATTTTTATTATAAAGTGCTGTTCTAGAGGCAAGATCAGGCAAAATTTCTGTAGAGGGACAAATGATATTTTAGGCTGTGGGCCATATGGTCTCTGTCAGAAATATTCTGCAATTATAGTGCAAAAGCAGTAACAACCAATAAATGAGCATGACTGTATTCTTAACATTAAAATTGGAATATCATAATTTTCACGTCACAAAATATTCTTTTGGTTGCATTGGAATTGCTTAGTCAGAGTATACATCCTAAAATTTAAAAATTAGATTGTCCTCCTTAAAGATTATACCAATTTTCTCTGAACAAATGAGTGCCAGTTCCCTTGTTCCTTTGATAACTGTTATCCAAATCTGATTGCTAGAAAATGGAATCTCAACAATGGATTTTATTTGCTTTAACTGGGATTAAGCATCATGTTTCAACTGTTTGTATCTTTTGCCCACGTATCTATTGGGTTGTTGTTTTTACTTTTTGACTTATAAAAATTGTATTAAAGAAAAAATTAACCATTGGCAAACATCTTTTACCAGTTGGGGTTTTTGTTGTTGTTCACAGTGTTTTTCTATACAGAATTTAATCTAGTCACATCATCCATTCTTTTCAAGTATTCTTTTGTTTTTAACTTAGAAGGCAGAGCCACTACACAAAGAAAAACTACTTTTGTTTTTTCTTCTTGTATTTTTAAATTTTAATATAGTTCAGGATCCATATCTGGACTTCTTTAACTGTTCCATTCATTGAGTAATGTGCTAGTACAATCCTGTTTTATTCATTTTGTAATATTTTAACACTGGTAGAGTTAGTTTTTCCCTTATGACTCTAATTTTTGCACAATATTATGGTTACTTATTTTCCCAAATGAATGTTAGAATCAACTTGTCTAGTTCCAAAAACAGTCCTGTTATTTTTATTCAGATTTTAAAGAACTTATTTTTCTTTAGAATTATTTTTATGCTCAATTTCTTAGTCGTGGTATAATTTACCATTTAAGGTCTCATTTGTGTCCTGTCAATATTTTAAGTTTTCTTCATATATAACTTATACGTCTCCTTAAATATTCCTAGCTTTATTTTCCTTCCAATTTATCTTCAGACTTCCTCGCTACTTCAATGAACCATCTTCAGTTGACATAGTATTTAAGTACACTTACCATCTACAAGTGATTTTTACCTCTTTCCTCACTTGTACATTTTTCTTCTCTTGCCTAATTGCCTTTAACGGTACCTTTGAACAAAGCTTTTTAATAGAAACACTTCTAGGGCTAATGTTTCCCTTTTAAACATCACATAGGTTTTGGGATTAAGATACATTTTACTAAGAATCTGGACTGTCAGCAATTTTAGCAAATGCCATTTTAGCATGTAGGGAGATTATGTAATTTTTGAGATAAATTGCAAATATTCTCAATGTATTCTTAAATAAACTAAGAATGTCTTGTATAATTGTTTATAATGTGTATCTACTAGTCTTTATCCCTTAATTTAGCAGGTATATATCACTATATATGTGACACCAAAAAGGGAACTCAACTTCACATGCACGTTCTAAAAAAGTAACCCTTAAGGAATTTTTAAATGTCTTAAAATTCTTATTCTGACTCTCACTGAACCCATAGTTTAGTAGGGCACACATTAAAGAGTTTTAATAGGATGTGATAAACCCTATCATAGGGCAAGACTAGGGATAGGGATGTGTGACCCATTCAGGCCATCCAGAGGGACACTGTAAAAAACCTGAGACTCATGGGTGGTATGAGAGAAGGGATGAAGTATATGGGGCCTCTATTTAAAGGCTAACAGGTATGTATAAATATGTTCTGTATATTATGAGCAAAAGGAATCTTCCTCAAGCTACAGCAAGAGTGGTTAAGATACTGATGGCTTGAAACAAGGTATTTGGCATTTTTAAGACATCAGAAGAAGAGAGGCATTTCAGTAGTCCCTGAAAAATGTCTGAATGAGGTTGGTGATTGAAGACAAGTGGATATTTATGAGAATTAGTTGGAAAGACTTGGGGGCACTATGCATGGAAGCTCCAGACTAACCACTAGCTTTGGAGCCAGATTCAATGAATAACATAGTAGTTCCTGGACCCATTGTTGGGCAAACAATATGTATCCTGGACTGTTGAGAGGATTAAGAGATATGTAGAATGAAGTTAGCAGTTCTGGAACATGGTCAACATACAGTAAATGCTGTCAATATTCTACGATGCCACACATTCTGCAGCATATTTAAAAAAATCTTTTTAAAAAACTACAGATTTATTCATTTTTTTAGGTCCCCAGACTAAACGTGTTAAAATTATCCATTTAAATCTCATTCTAAACTTTATCCTGGCACCTACTTGTCAGTGCAGTGACTGCTGATTAAGATTCTGCAAGTTATAATTTAGAGATGTTTCACAAATGTCCTTATAGATTACCAAAAAGTAACAAAAGCCCATACATATAGCTAACAGGGGTCTCAAATTTTAACAAATCCTCTGCAAATCTCATTTCCATTACTTTTTCAAGTTAAATTTAGTTTTGAATTGTTGTGCACTGTTATATATTCAGGGTCCATTAGCCAGTGATTTGGAAATCTGACACCTTTATTTCCATGATGTTTCTAATTTTTTAAAAAAGAACAAAACCAGCACTCTCATTACTCTTACTGGGATATTGAAAAGCAGGATATGCCTATGGCCTTAACTCTATTTTGGGTAGATTATAAAACAGATATTAATATTTACCAGCTGAGTCTCTTTAGTTGTCAGAATTGAGGCTGCCTGGCTAAATGAGAGTGAGGTAAACCTTTAGAAGTTGGTCAATACCTTATCAAAGTACTCATATGGCATCTGTCTAGCTCTGTGGTAAAACATGGTGTAAAGACATATAATGGGTGCTCAGTCAGTCAGAGAAGGTGGTTTTTCCAACAGAAGTGCAGTCTGAGCTAAGATCTCAATGTAGATACAGTGAAGGAAGATGGAACCAGAAAGGGAAGGAAATAGCATGTGCAGAGACAGTAGCAAAAGGCTTATTAAAGACTGAAGGAAACCAGTTTGCCCAGAAGAGAATCTAAGGGTGGTAAAGATAAGGTGGGAGAAGGGACAGACTATGCAAGGCCTGACAGGCCATGCTAAGGTGAGCAGAGACTGTTTTATCATTTATCCCCAATGTCTACAATAGAGTTCAGTTGATAAAAGCCCTAATAAAGGTTTAAGTTAAATGACCAGTCTTCTGACAAGATGAGCAATTAGCATAAACTATTGTCTCTTCCTCTCTCCCACCCACGGAGAAATTATACAAATAAGGCAGTGGTTAGAGATTGAGAAATTATGAAGAATCCCCTGGAGGAACAGATCATGACTGGGTCTTACTATAACAGGGGCAAGAAATGGAAACCCAGTATAGAAAAGGGCAGGGTGCCATAGGAGTCGGAGTACTATATAGGCTGGGACAAAATTTTTCTCATTCTGTCCTTTTCCCCTCCTGCTCATTGCCTCATATCCAATCCATCACTAGCTGGGGTGGCCAGCACATTACAACCTTATTTAGCCCCTGGAGTTCTCTAGAGAATTACAACTGAGGGGAAGGAGAGGAGGCTCTACCACTCTGAATCCCAGATTCTAACTCAGAGGCTCTGTACCTCCACTCTCCTTCAACTCATTAGGACACTAGGGCCTGGGCTTGGCTCCTCCCTTTTACCAGCAGCTGACACAAAATTCCCATCTTCTACTGTGAGCTCATCAGGTAAAAATAACCAGTCATCTGGCAACTACGGCATCTGCTATAAAAGACAAGTCTCAAAGACCATAGGATAAAATGTGTTGAATATTAAAAATAGAATGTTTATAGATGATAATGAACTATGGATCCTGGTTAGCACACATATATATTTCATTGTTCTGCTGACAGGGCCTAGAAGCAATACCACCTCAGTATCAAGAACACATCTAGCATCCAGATCTTGGTTCTTTAATACCACTAAATAATAAAAGAACCAGGGCTCCTTGAGAAAATGGTTGACTCTGAGATTGGAGAGGAAAACTAGATGAGCCCAGAGCATCTTATAGTGCTATAAAATGAGAAATATTTAAAAACAATGATGGAGATGTATTGAAGACACAGGAGCCAACTGAGAGCTCCCAATGGCCAAAGCTGGAACACTCTGAACAAAATTAAGTATTATTAGATTATTTTCCTAAGTATAAAATAAATATTCTTGAGTCCACAGTGGTATAAATTGAATAGAGAAAAGATCAATTTATTTCTGAAAAATTCCAAGCAACTTATGTAGACATTCCACTTTTAAGGAGAGCACAACTCCTCTCTTAAGTGTGGGCTGTACATAGTGACTTCATTGCAAAGAGTACAATATTGAGTGGAAGAGAGTAACTTTACAATGGAGAAACCTGGCAAATAAGACCTTAGCCAGGTGATCAAAGCTAACATCAACAGTAATAAATCATATTGTTAGTATATACTCTTGATATGTGATGAGAACGGCACTTTACCTCTGTAGTCTTCCTTTCAAAATCCTTTAAGCCCAGCCTAATCATGAGAAAAACTCAATCCTATTGAGGAACTTTCTATAAAATACCCGACTCAAAACTCTAGGTCATCAAAAAAAAAAAGAACATCTAAGAAGCTGTCACAGCCAGAATGAGCCCAATGAGACATGACTAAATGTAATATCCTCAATGGGATACTGGAACAAAGGACATTAGATAAAAACTATGGAAATCTGAATAAAGTATGGACTTTAGTTAATAATATTAACTAAATATTAGCCCATTAATTGTGACAAACGTACTATACTGTTAACATTAGGGGAAACTAGGTGTGGGGAACATGGGAATTCTTTGTATTACCTTCACGTCTTTTCTGTAAATCTCTAACTATTCTAAAATACAATAAACTTCGAGGTCTATTTTATCACCCCCTACCCAGGTAGTAGTATAGTTACCCTTAACATTCTCATACCCCAAAAGGCCTTTACTGGAGAACAGGGAGGGCCAAAGTAACAAGGGCTCCTTTTTAACCAGGCCTTAAGACACTAAAATGACAAATATGTGACCCAGCAAGTTGGCTCATTAAGTGTTCCAAAATAGTAATAAAGAAAAAGATGTTTTTAAGCAGACATTATAAGTATTACAGTTGATTTGTTAATTCAGTGAAATTGTTTCCCAAGAGAGTATTGACAGGCCCATTAACTGGAGCTGTTCATTAAGTCCCAATTAAGCAACAAGATTAACAGGAATCCTTGTCACTTTTTAAAGTTCTTAATTAGTTGCTCTTACCATGTTGTTTTCTTTTGGGTGAATTCCTAGGCACTAAGCCTCCTTTTAGTGTCCCTTCGGGCCCTGCAGAATTTATTCCTGAGGTTTTGTTTTCCTGATTAAAATTTGAGATGTGATCCAAAATTTCAATGCAAAAATCCATTTTGCATTGAAAGAAAGACAATTTCTTTCAACCCTGAAAGGGAAATGAATTATTGACAGACAACAGGACAGCACTCAATGCTTGGGGCCCTCTACTGTACCCAATTTAGTTTTCCCTCTTAATATGATACAGAATTGTGGCCTGAAACTTGAGTAGACCAACGAAGAGGAGCACTTATGTTTACTAACTTCTACCTATGGTAGGAGGTGGTAGCCTGGATTTTTTTTTTTTGGGGGGGGGGACAATTAATCATGCTATATTTAGCTCTAATTAGGCATAAAGACTTTTCCAATCACATCACCTAGAGATCACTTCACCCACTGCTCTGTTTGGCTGCCAGTCTCTTGTCTCTCTCTTCAGCAATGGTGAGGCGGATACCCTTGCCACGAGGAAGAGAAATCCATGGCTTGTTGCCTTTGCCAACAACGAAAATGTTGGAGAGCCGGGTGGCAAAGCTATTGCCATTGGCATCTTTCACATGAACCACATCAAAAGAGCCAGGGTGTCTCTCTCTGTTGGTGATCACACCAATTCTTCCCAAGTTAGCACCTCCGGTCACCATACACAGGTTACCAGTGTCAAACTTGATGAAATCAGTAATTTTGCCAGTCTCCAAATCAATCTGAATGGTGTCGTTCACTTTGATGAGGGGATCAGGGTAGCGGATGGTGCGAGCATCATGAGTCACCAGATGAGGGACTCCTTTTGTGCCCACAAAGATCTTTCTCACTTTGCACAACTTGTACTTGGCCTCCTCAGATGTAATACGATGAACAGCAAATCGACCTTTGGTGTCATAGATCAGACGGAAATTCTCTTCAGTCTTGTCAATGCTGATGACATCCATAAAGCCAGCAGGGTAGGTTACATCAGTCCGGACCTTGCCATCAATCTTGATAAATCTCTGCATGCAGATCTTCTTTACTTCATCTCCTGTTAAGGCATATTTCAATCTGTTCCTTAGGAAAATGATGAGTGGGAGACATTCTCTCAGTTTGTGGGGACCAGTAGATGGACGAGGAGCAAACACACCCGTCAGTTTATCCAGCATCCAATGCTTTGGAGCTGCTACACGCTTCAGATGCTTCTTGGGACCACGAGCCATGGCTGCACTGGGCACAGAAAGAGTGGCAGCTTGGATATTTACAGACCAGTAACCCTGCTAGTCCAATTTCAGTTTCCATTGAAGTATGGGAAAAGGATGATAAAGAGAAAAAATGAAAAAATTTTAAATAAATTATTCATTTATAAATGAATAAACTTTGAAATGTTTTACTTCACTTTCTTAGACTTACCAGGAAAATAAAAAAATCAAGCCAACAGGGAGTAGATGACTAATTAACTTCACTTATCAAGTAGGAGATCCCATTAAGTTATTTTACTGTGCATGATTAAGTCATTGAAACCTCTTAGGGTATTAAATACAGGCATGAATACCAAATGAATTATCCCTTTTCAAGTAGCAACACAGGGGCCTGTCTCTGCACCTGGGTAGCGTTATCATAGTCTGGAAGGCAATCTGTATGCTCAGAGGAACTTGAGATCCCATATTTTAAACTCTGGCTATTCATGATAAATATTTCCTCTTTCCTTAGAAGCCAATTCTATTTCACAACCTAGGACTGAGTCTGTGATCAGGCTCTGCTGGAAACTAAAGACTGCTGTTTTTTCTTAGGACCTCTTCCTTAGGTATACATTAAAAGAGAACCACTATGATAAAAGTAACCCACACAATTTTATACATAAATCCCAAACAGAAGTAATAAGGACTATTCTACTACTGGATAATTTACTAAAATCACCCATGTCCTCTAAGAGATGAAGAGTTTAAGGGTGTATGGTAAAGACTTGCTATAAGGCAAAGGTATTGATAACATGGAATTTTTCACATGTTGGTACTGGCCCTGAATCTGTCGCTAATGAGCTGTCAACTCTCAAGGCCTGAATTTCATTATTTAGAACAAGGGTTGGTAAAGGCCGGAGGCTTGCCATCTGTTTTCAAAAGGCCCTTGAGTTTAGAATGCTTGAGGGGGGGAAAAGTTTGTTGTGACACTGAAAATTTTACAAAATTCTAATTTCACTGTCCATAAATAAAGCTTTATTGGAACACAGTAATGCTCATTTGTTGCCATATTGTCTATGGCTGCTATTACACTGCAACTGCAGAGCTGAGTAGTTGCATCATAGACTATATGATGCACAAGCCTAAAATATTATCTAGCCCTTTACAGGAAGTTTGCCAATCTCTGTTCTAGAACAGCAGTGTACATAATACTTTCTGCATTGGTGGAAATGTTCTGAGCTGTCCAATATGGTAGTTACTAGATGCTGAGATGGAGAAACTGATTTTATTTCATTTTTGTGAATTTAAATAGCCATGTGTCGCACTGCAGAGCTCTAGGAAATGAGAGCTTACTTTTAACTTTGGACTTTTAATTTTTTAGAATTTTAAGTTTTCCAACTGTAAAGAAAACCTCATACCACTACTACACTTCTGACACCTTATGTGTGGGTTTTTTTTCCTACACCAAGCAAATCTGTCACCAGCTGGGTGTCCTACAATTTAACTCAATTCTGATACTATCTGTACCTACAGATAGCACAGGTTAAGGGTACATTCCTTAAGACTACCATCCCCATCTCCAAATCACAAGTCCAGGTTGTTACCTGGGCTTTTGATTAACAGGCTAAAAATCTGAGGTTCCACAACCTCCTCTTCAGGCTTGCCTAATTTGCTAGAAGAGCTCACAGAGGCTCAGGAAAAAAATGTACTGTTTAACAATTTATTATAAAAAGATCTGATAAAGGATACAGATGAACATCCAGGTGGAAGAGATGCATAGGACAAGGTATATGGGAAGTGGTACCAAGCTTCCATGCCCTCTCTGGGTATACATCTCTCCCAGCACTTCCACATGTTCAACTACCTGAAAGTTCTCTGCACCCCATGCTATTGGGATTTTTATAGAGGCTTCATTACACAGGCATGATCAACTATTAACTCTATTTCCAGCCCCTTACTCCTCTCTGGAATAGGGCATGGCCTACATTACATACCTAGGTGTTACACAGGGCTGTCTGTCAGATATGAGGTCCTAAGGGACACAGGTTTCTCAGGTGAAGTCACCTAGGGTTCAAAGAGGAAAAGAATGACAAGATCTCAATGGGATCCTTTTCTCACAGGAAAAAAAAAATTGTTTGCACCCAGACTAGGACCAACTCCACAGGAGGAGTTATTCCACTCTCAGAGGTGCAAAACGCTACCCAAAGGTACTTGGCCACAACACCAAAACAGTGCTTGAGGCCAGACCTCAATAAAGGCAGCGCTTGCTCTTCCAACAGTGTAACACCATCCGAGGCATCACATTAGCCTGGATAGCTGACAACTGCTGGATGATTCCTGAAACATCTTATTTGTTTCAGATGCCCACCCAGGTAGAAGACATGGATACAGGTATCCCCAGGAATTAAATATTGAATGCAAAACAGAGGTCTGGAAGCACTGATTGCAGATCAATTATAAAGGGATATGATAAAGGATACTGATGAACATCCAGGTGGAAGAGATGCACAGGACAAGGTATATGGGACGGGATACCAAGCTTCCATGCTCTCTCTGGGTGCATCACTCTCCTAATACTTTCATGTGTTCACCAACCAGAAAGTTCTCTAAACTCCGTGCTATTGGGATTTTTAGAGGCTTCACCACACTGGCATGATCAATTATTAACTGCATTTCCAGTCCCTTACCCCTCTTGGTAGAGTGGGGGATGGGGCTGAAAATTCCAAGTTTCTCATTATTGCTTGGTCTTTCTGGTCACCAGCCTCCGCTAGAACAAGATTCCAAATCCTTTAAACACATAGGAAACAAGAATCTTTTCCCCATGCCTTTAGTCATTTTATTCAACATTCAGAGAGTTCTTGCCATGTGCTGGGCACTGTGCTTGGGATCTAGCAGTGAACAAGGCAAAATACACTATCCTTTACCTCATGGAATTTGCAACCTCTCTATAAATTCCTCAGATGGAATGATACAGATAATCTCAACCTACATGCCTTCAAGACCATAACCATCAAAATCATACCCAACCCTTCAATGAGTGGCCAAATTTGTCGAGGGCAAATAAATACAGGTGGATTTTGCCTCCCATTTGTTTCCTGAAGGACACCAACTAACACTATTTGACTGGCACATGTTCAATTCAATGCTAGAATGAATAGAGACATTTACCTCAAAACTCCATACAGACTGTCCACCTGCCACTAATTTCCTCTTCAGGACGGACAAGGATGCACTACTTTCAAGTCACCCTAAAAAGAAAGATTTCACTGTTCAATACCCCAGACAATATAGCAGCTCCTAAGGCTGCTCTTCTGTAGAGATGGAAGCAGAATGCAGTCTGCCACTTATAATTTTTTTTTTTTAGGCGAGGCAACCCTTGGTTGACCTCACAGATTGCAAGGACCTTGTCATCTTACAGTCCCTTATTTTTTACACCTATAGCATCTGGTCTTCCTAGGTGGCCTCCCATCCAAGTATTAACCAGGCCTGACCCTGCTTAGCTTCTGAGATCAGACGGGATTGGGCTTGTTCAGGATGGCATGGCCGTAGACTGCCATTTATAATTTACCATATTTGTTATATCCTAAGGAATTATTTTATTTCCCATTATTTGCCTTTTTTTGCCTATGTTACCATTAAAGCTAACCATCCCCCAAGCCCTCTAGATTATCACTAGTCTTAAGACTCCATATGTAAAAGGTTATATTCACAATGAACATGAGGTATTCATACAAAGCACTCAAAATTTAGTTGAGAATCCTTTTAAGGGAAAGCAAATTGATAAAACAAAACCAGTTTTGATAAATAACTCCACCTCCCAACATCCTCACTAGTTCCTCCTACGGAAACTAAGATGTCACTTCACAGAAGCAGTCAGCCTTACTGGACAATCTCCAACATCACCCTGAGTGATAGTGTTTGCTTAAAACTGAGGAGCATCTCTTCTCAGAAAATTAGCATTCCAAAACAATATCACTACAAAGAGGACTCATGATTTACTGCTCCAAAAGGGCAACAACTCTACTCACTCCCGAAAATCAGTAAGAAACCAACACAAATATACTGTCAGCCTAAAACAGAACTTACTATGGTTCTAGCTAGGCCTAGGGTCTAGAGCCCCTCAATCAATTGCTATTTTTATATTTTAATGAACTAGAGAAGGATGCTCATAATTTTAAAGAAAATTCACATCAACATTTCACTATAAGGCATTCTCATAGGTAACTACAGCTATGACATTCCTCTATGAAGGGATCATCCTGACTAGCTTTGTATGGTGGAAGAGTAGGAACCATGAACTTTGATTTCAGTGTAATTAGCAAAATCCCATCAGCTTTCTCTCTGTATAAGGCCTCTTTTCAGCACTTTGTAGGCACTCAAAATAAAAAAGCCTCTTCTCTATTTAAACATCCCTCCACAGCTTGATTGATTACCTTTGTCCTATTTCCAAAGTGTGATTCAATTAACTTCATACTAGACAAACCTGTTGGACCAGAACTACTCAGAAAGGTTTGGAGTTTTCGATTTCTTCCTGCAAAGTTATGCTCTTGCAGATTTAACTTTAACAGACAAGCAACTATGCTGGCATCTGGGATAGTTAAACAACAGAGTTGGCATGAACCAGGCCCAGAATGCCAACCAGCTACTGGCTGCTGTTCTCCCAGCAGTTTAACACTTGCCCAGGTACAAGGCAACCTAGGCAGCTGCCTACAGCTGGGGCGAAAGGTTGGCAAATGGAATTGCACTTACCTGGCACTGTTATTTGTCCAAAGTCCACAACTGGCCCCTCTGTAATCAAAGCACTCTAGGTTAGAGTAGGCCACCAGTTAGTGAACACTTGTGTGTTGTTCAAGACCCGTCTTCAAAACCCTGTAACAGTGAGGCCTGAGTCACAGAAACGATAGCAGGTAATAGTATCAGGAAGCTTGGCTCTACCACTTAACAGCCAAGAGCAGACTAACTGAACCTCTCTGTACTTCAGTCTCATTTGTAAAATGGGAAAGTCATTAATAGTACTCTGTACACAAGGTGGTAGGTAGGATTAAACGGAATATAAATTATGCCCACAGGATAATATCTGGTATAGAGTGGGCACTCAATAAACACTTGCTATTATCAGCAGCTACATTCCTGGCAAGGAGATGGATAGGAATGAGAAGGAAATTACCCTGGGAGAGCAATGAGAAGTGAAATTGTAAAGACTAGTTAAAACTAGGTAGAGGGCCTCAATTATGTGACCTCTTTAAAAAGCAGAACTTTAGAAAAATAATTGGATGCAGTAATGGATGTGAAAGGAACGGAGAGACAGGTCGCCAGTCTTGCCAAAGACCTCAACATTGGTTGAAAGCAGTAACTAAAATGTTTGCAAGAATGTTAATAAACATTCCTACCCAACCACCCACCCACCCTTATAATTTGCCTTATTTATATAAGGTTAGGGCTTCTAAGACCATATACCTTTTCCTAGCCATCCTCTAATTTCACTCCTAACCGCCTCCAAACAATTTAGAGGAAAAGGAAACTAGAGGGGGCGCATTGTCCAAGTCTAAAAACAAATCTAAAAATAGCCTGCCCCTTTCAGGGGCTTGGGTTGAAGAAACTGACCGAGCTCCCCTGGACACGTGTTCCTCACAGCCCTTCCAAAGTCTCAGGCCTTCGCGTCTGGGGAGCGAGGCTCTCCGAGACCAGCTCTGGGTGACTCCCCAGGGACAAGAGAGCTGGGAGAAAACGGAAGGCGACTCTAAGGCTACGGTCTCCCAGCGTCTCTTCAAAATGCCCTCCAAACCCAGAGTCGCGAGGAAACCAACCCCAGTTTCGTCCCGTGCCTCAGAAGGAGCCTCCCTACAGCTGCCTCTAATCCCGGACTTGGTAAACCTCCGAGTCTTCTCCCTACTTGGCCCTTACTTACTCGCACGTGTCCGGAGCTCCGCCGGCGTGCTCCAAACCCGGCAGCGGCAGCAAGGAAAAGGGAAGCTGGGAACTTAGTGGAGCCCCGCCTAGGCTACTGGGCGGGGCCTCGGTGTTCAGAGCCCGGAAGCCCGGCCCACGAAAGGGCGGGTTGGAAAAATGGGTGTGCGGTGGCATAAGTGATCACACTCCTCACAGGAGGTGGGCTTCAGAAGAGAAAGAGTAGGAATCTAAACAAGGGCTACATTTTTTTTTTTTTTTCATTCCCACCCCCTTTGTTACTTCTGGATGGAACGGGCCCTGGGTTTGGAGTTGCTAAAGAGAAAACCTGGTATGTACTAGTGCAGCCATGCTTCCTGCCCGCCTACTCCTAGCGCCCCCTGGTACGCTGGTTCCTCTCACACGTGTGGCGCCTTTCTGTTCCTGTAGGCTCAGCCCACGCTTTTTCTGCCTCCCAGGCAGATCCTCTTTCTGGCTTTCACCAGCAGCTCTCACTCAGCCAATGGATCGCTCCCTCACCGAGGTCACTTTGGTTTTCAGCATTTCTCCAGGAGGTTTTTGGGTACATTACTCTGGTCACTTCTGTAGGCTTAACCCTAGGGGATCAACCACATCCACGGTGCCTGCAGTGGGATCCTTAGTTACAGCAGCTAAAGAACACTGCCAGGCTTGCACCGTGACACAATCAGCCAAAGAGGCCACAACCTTGGTCTGGACAGATTGCTTGCCAAGTTACCAACATTTCTTTTGAATACTAAAATTTCCTACCCCCTCGAAGTAAATATAATCC